GTAATCGCGAGTTTTGCCTTTAAGTGATCCATACAATTTCGCCGAGTGGTGCAAACAAGCTTATGGCATATCCTGTTTGCGCAGAAAAATAATCGTCAAAACTTTATCAGAGCCCTACGCTAAGATCTTCAGCCTAGCACTGCACTTTCGGGAGAGAAGATCACAAACTCACAAGAATTTTATGGAGTTGGAACAGAAGCTGATATGATGACCGCCAGATTGCAGTACCTCCAACAGCAAAAGCAGCAGGTGGTTTGAATCAGTTCACGGTGGGCGCAAAACAGTTTACAGTCCCCACTGACAAACCCGACTCTTCATACCGCACTAGAAAATTTATGATAAACTTCTACAGAAAGCCAAAGCGTCATACAGTAGTAATCAAGCGACTGCCGCACAATTATCAATGGTAAGTGGTCTCTTGTTTTATGGGAGGTCATTCTCAATGTTGCTCCACATTTCAGCCGAACCCATGCCTCCCAGCCTCTACGACAAACTTCCCTGCCGCTCAGCTATTCACAGCACCTGCGGTTGCAAGGGCTCGTAAGGTTTGTTCTTGCATCCGATAAGTTGAATCTTGGGTCAATGTGCCTGCGACTGCATTCTGACTTGGAATACACTTGGTGGTGGTGATGGCGTAGTGGGTGGAAGTGTACTGTGCTGCTCGAAGGGTGCCTGGAAAAGGATCTTGCTCAAGCCAACAGGACATCTCATAGTAGTAGTGAATAGCTAGAAGTATACCCGCTAGGGTGAATACATCAAGGCACATTCAGGGCACAGGGCTCATCTGCCCAGAAGGGTCCTGCAACCGTGTACCATATGCAGGGTACGTCATCGCTTCTGTGTGAAATGTTTCAATGAAGATGTCAATATGACCCCCAGTGAGGGTCTCGGTACGACCTCCTACCCAAGGAGGGTCTACAACTCCAACCCAAGGGAGGGTCTCCGTACGACACCTCCCCTCCCCCCCCCCCAGAGTGCCCGCGCGTTAGGCTGCGTTTATACTTTGCGGCAGCGTAGCGTAGCGCTTCCAGCGTACGCCAGCGGCAGTGCCGAAGAGAGGATGCATATCGATCTAGCTTCACCAGCGTCACCAGCGGCACGCTGGCGTACGCTAGCGTACGCCAGCGTTTCTCCAGCGTTTCACCAGCGTTTTGCTAGCGTTTGCAGCGGCAGGGGAGTAGAGACTATGTGGCCGTAAGAGACGCGCAATCGTTGTGTATTGTAGAGACTATGTGGCCGTCAGAGACGCGGAATCGATGTGTATAGTAGAGACTATGTGGCCGTCAGAGACGCAGAATCGATGTGTATAGTAGAGACTATGTGGCCGTCAGAGACGCGGAATCGATGTGTATTGTAGAGACTGAGGGCGAGTGAGAGACGCGCAATCGATGTGTTTTGTACCCTCCAGCTCTCCCATAGTCTCTACTCCCCTGCCGCTGCAAACGCTAGCAAACGCTGACGCGCTGCACGCCGTGTCCCCAGGGGCGTGTGAAAACGCTGAGAAACGCCTAGCTGTAGCGCGTGCGGCTTGCGGACGTGAAGTTGAAGCTAGGACAATCGATATGTATCCTCTCTCGGCACAATGCCGGCTGGCATACGCTGGTTGGAAGCGCTACGCTATGCTGCCGCAAAGTATAACCGCCCTAACAGGCGCCTCGGCTGACGGATGCAACTTGCTGCTACACCATTTCTGCCTATATCAGTTCGGATGTTGATTTCTAACACTACTATTCACGGGCAGGGTAGGCTTCAGACGGAATTCACGAATCCAGCAGAGCAAGTGGTGATTCGGAAAGTGTCGCAGTACTCGCATCCACAGAATCACAATAGGAACACTGTATGTCAAAAAGTACTTGTTTTGTCGCCACGCCCATTTGTTTTCAACCTTTATTTGAATCGGTTCCTCACCACCGCAACGTTCGTCTTTTGCAGGGTATTGGGAACTTCTTTGAAGAACTGGTGAACCCAGGAACAGCCGCATAAAAAAGTGTCGGCTAGCGTGAAGGAGGAAGCTTCCTCAAGATTAACTCTTTTCTATCATGAGGCATGCATTCTACCCCCTCCTCCCCTCCCCAAGACTATTAGGATATGCAGGACTCGCCGTTTCTATCCTCCTAATGCAAGCCTGGTTCCTATTTACCGCCCCGGACAAATGGGAAGTTTCATTGATGCGGACGGAAAACCCGGCATTCGATCTCCGAGCTACGCTCAGGGTATTTAGCGCCAGCTGCCACTATAACCTCAACCACTCTATCTACGCAAATTGTTCTACAACGCACAAAATGCCCTATCAAATAAATGCGAATGCATCGTCAGAGGTTCATTTCTCGAAATATTTTAAAAAAAAATCATTTTTTATGGGCTACAGGGTTTATGTCCCATTTATATCATTTGTGACTTATGAAGCAGTTCTGTAATCAACTCCATTGCAGCAATCAGCAGCATTCAACTCGCCGATGTTGATCAGCAAAGCGCAACTACTTAATAACCAGCACGTGGAGCCACTGTATGATGAGGTCTGTTTTCAGTTTCTGGGGCTCAGTTACGAAGCAACCTTAGCTTGCCGTACGGACGAATCCAGAAGTGGGGACAGGTCGGCGATGAGGGGGCACGTTGCACTTTTGCTAGTTCCCGTCGATAGACGAGCTTGCTCCAGTTTTACAAGAGGTTTCAGCAGAGTGAGACTTGTAAATTGGAACTAGTGAAGCAGCGAAAGTGCTAAATGCTTCTCCCTAGTCGCCGAATTGTGCCTCAAAGGTGCACAGGAACAGTCTTCTGGTCAATTGAGAGAGAAACGAGTAACAGGATGATACTCAGGAACAAACTGAACGCTCATCTCCAGGGACAATCCCTTCCACAAGCGAAGTGAAAGTGTCTGCAGCTGCACACGTGGCACTTTCTCCGCTCAAAAGCGCTCGAAAACGGGGCTGGAGTACTGATACCCGGATGATTCTTCCCGTGCTATCGTCGCAATGCAGCTCTTGTGTTGGTACCGAAATCCTGCAGCGAACACGCAAATGCCGGGGTAGAATGCATGCCTCATGATAGAAAAGAGTTAATCATGAGGAAGCTTCATCCTTTACGCTAGCCGACACTTTTTTATGCGGCTGTTCCTGGAGGGTTCACCAGTTCTCAGAGGTAGAGAATAACCAGAGGTGAGAGGGCACAGACAAGTAGGACCTTCGGCCATGGCTAGGAGTGTGACTGGCCGTGCAGCGCGCGTGGAGTGTGACACACGAACATCGGTACTCTCCAGGCCCGCTCCCGTGCGCTTTTGACCGGAGAAGTGGCACGCTTCTGCCGTTCAGCTGTGGGCCCATTCACTTCGCACCAGAATCTACGGAAGTGAGTGTGCATTTGTCTTAACCAGCCCATGCCATTTTTGCCCCTAGATCTGTTTTGGCTCTCAGAGGGGAGCATGCCAGCCAATGAGAATCGTGGGCGCTATTTAAGAATGGTCGTACTTTATAGCCCGACCATTGCCACCATGAGGCTTTTTTATGTTCGTAGGCATAGAGGTGAATACCATAATTCTAAAGTTTCCTTTCAGAAGCTGGATAATAATAACACAGCGAGGTGCCTCCTGGCACAGTCGACAGCGCATAATGTGAGTCTCACTTAATTCACGTAATCATTCCAGTTTGGCTGCGCACGTTACCTAGCGTGTGACACGGCTACCGTGACGCTTGAAAAACGCTCATTACAGATATTAGGTTGTCCCAAA